AAGATGACAACATGTCATGGGATATTGGAATTTCTTGAACCTCAACTTGACACTTAAATTTTTTTTTAATTCCATCTAACTCATAAAAATTTACTATTTATTCAAAACCAACATGTTTTCAAAATCTTATTCTATTAGAATGGAAACTTTGATAGGAGATTACATAATAAGTTTCACATATAGTTCTGAGAGATATAATATCTATTCCACCAACTATAGATTTGATAGTCAAACTTAATAATATATAGCTAAGCATAGTCATGACTAAATTAACTAAATTCAACTCTTTGAATTTAGTTCATCTACAACTTATGCACTCATACAAATACGGATGTTATAAACCTTCCATACGAGTTTATGAGCATTTTATCTATTCACCTACATGTTCACCAAATGGTAATACATTATTCTTATTTTTCTCAATCTACCTCAACATTATTCAAAATGCCATAACTACGAGCTATTTCAAACTCCAAGAGATGATACTCAGAAATGATTATATTGCCTTTGGACGTTCCAATATATATTCTCATGCACTAGACATCTTGAATCAATCCCCTTGAATACTACATCACTTACACTCGTGTCAAATGAGATAAACGCATCAAGTTTGGCATATGAAGAGTAAAACCTAAAACTTGAGTCTGAATTATCAAATTGCTTTAACTTATAGTCTCAACGGCAAAGCAATTTTAACTTTCATACACATAGCTTGCCTTTCTTAAAACTTCCATAAACTTTTGGAGCCACACATCACATCAAAAGAAAGACTGAACTGTAAATAACCAATATATGGTTGATGGCGGAATCTACTGAAAAATTCAAAGTGAAAGAATATATGATAACATAGCACTTATCAATCAGGAGAGTTCTGAAATTTAACAGTTTGTCTAAAGTTACAAATACATTTGACATATCATCCATGTGAAATTGATATCTGACCTGAACAAATAGTTATAAATAAAATGGTGACATTATAATGCAAACGGTGACTTAGTAGTGCCAGGATTGATGTTTGCGGAGTGTACACGAGGACTACTACAAAAGCATTTTGAGATGTGAATGACAGTGAGCATTTCTTAAAAGGATGGTGCAAATGAGTAATGAAAGCATAAACAGGAGATTATAGATGGGAAGGGATAGCGCACTTCATGTTGACAAACTTTTTACAACCTTGAAAGGCTACTGCCCTATTCTGAAGAATGGTCAGCAGGCTACTTGTGTTTGATTTGATTGAGAGTGTTGGAAGTCACACACAAGACTGCCTTTGGAATATGTGGTTAATTCAATTGTAATGTGGAGCGGTCCCACAAGGGAAAAGAGCTTTGATAAGGAATTTCTATTATGCTCCCCTTCGTATCATGAACAACGACGTTATTGTTTGCTCCCTCTAGACGGCGTATAAAACACTGCATCGCCCACTGCGCTACCAAGTTCCACCTTATTCCGCGGATGTAATTATAATTTTTATGTGATGACTTTCAGGATTGATTTCCACTTTACTTTACACCTATTGAAGACTTCTCAGGATGAAGGTAACATCAGCTGCTCTTTGTTGCAGTACACTTGAATTATGTGAACTTTTGAGGCTAAGTATGTGTCGGACAAACTTCTCACCATCGGCAAACTTCAGGTCTTACTTCAAACTCTTGCAACATCATAGTCACCTTGTGATCACCGATGCACTTACTCAAGTCCTCTGGGATTGATAGTGGTGTTTGGTTCATATCTCCACGACGGATCCAGATAGGGATCAACATGCTCTGGTTACAGAAGCAAAGAGCACTCTGTCGGATAAGGACACGAGGTTTTTGTCATACAGAAGTATTTCACAAGAAATACCGAATTAACTTAACTGAATACTAAAATAACTGAAATATCGAATGAGGTCGTCATCCAGTTTCCAACCATTTCATTCTGCCGATTATTGCATGAGTGCAGAGATGAGCGGATTACAACAGCTACAATGTCTTCCTTCTAGTTCAGCCACCGGAGGAAGTGGGATTCCTGTGCAGTGTGGACTTCGCCAAATCCTGACTAAAACATCATTCCGCTTTATTCATGAGTGTACGTGAAACCAGCATAATTGATGCCACCAAAGATGACCCCGTGACTATTTGTTGTCTCATCCACGAGACTGGTTTTTGTATTCATGTACAACAGAAACTTCTGCCACAGGTCCGATAGCTCCACTGATGAAGGCGTGAAACCTAGCAAGAACGTATGGGGTTGGATGCATTGATGTTTGACAGGGAGATGCAGTAAGCTATTATAGGAACAAAATGCTATTGAGAAAGTAAGTACAAAATCGAGGCGATTGAAGAATGAACATGGAATGGTAAAACGGGAACATAATGAATAGGTGTAGCGTGATGAGCTAGTTAGTTAAGATATGCCAATACAGTAAGCATATACCTGTATCTGTTACAATATCATGAAGTTAGGTAGAATGCATGCTCCTCGTTGATGAAACAATCATCCTGATCCACATTGATCCTGTGATTAACAGTTCACAGTTTCCTGATTTTGTAGACAGTGTAAACCTTCGTTATTCACGTGTTGGGGAGAGAAGTACGCGATGGCTAAGTAAACCAAGGCAAAGCAGTGTAGGTGGGATTTTGACTTCTATCAATCTCTTTCTTGAATCTGTTTTACATACTGAGCATGAATTGATTCAGTTTTGTTTTTCTCAAAATGACTGTCACAATATTCTCTCACAAGAAAGAGCATAAGTTCAGCAAGATCGCTGTTTCAAGAGGTATACTACAACACTTTCTGGGCCGTCTCCTTTCAGCCATCATGCTGCGCAACTGCCCAATAAATACCTTGTTTACCCTCAGCCTTTTATGCCAGGTAGTATCAATCTTGAAAGTCGTACACATCAACAAATGGAGTACTAGTCTCTTACGTTGTTGATCACATGGAAAGATAACCAGATGTTATTGTGTTACTGATAAACTGCTCGTACAGGAGCAGACTATCCTACCCTGAAGGGAGACGTGTATGAGCTTGTCTGAGAGGTACTCAGTGTAATACATTTGAGAGTTCAACCTTAACTTCACAACACTAGCCAACCTCACATAATTGCTGCACAAGAAATTATTGTGCAATATTCAAAGCAGCACTTTACTGAGACGGTATGAAGGTTGAATCCTCAAGCGAAACTTTTTGTAAGAAATACGAGAAAACTATTTGAGTATTGAAAGGTACAGAATGTTCAGGTTCCCGTGTCCGACCAGGGTCCAATGTTTGAGCAAAGGCATCATCTGCGCACCACTCAGTCTACCCAATGTTTGTGCCTTGCACTGTGCTGTTGGCAGTTCTTCTTGTTCTGCGGTGTAGTAGCTTGTCTAATGCGTCAGACCTCTGACCAACGATCAACAATCAACTGGCAATCAGCTCGTCACTCTCCCAGTGCATTGTAGTGATTGCAAAGCGCCCATACGATAATTCCATGTGAAATAAATCTCGGGTCAACTCTACAGAGTATGACCACACCTAAAAAGCGTTTGCACTCCATTTGCTATCGACTCCTATTCAAGTTCCTGTCTGATCCAAATTGTCTCCTCCGAGTGGCCATATGTACGTCAGCCACCGGGGAAATTCCCATCTGCAGGCCAGTCTTCTAGCAAAGATCAGCTTGTGTTCACATGCGGGTCGCCACACTTTACAATCGTGCTTGCAGAACAGTTTAACATGCCGGAAGATTTGTCATGGACGTAATCCATTCACTGTCTCTGCCCTTATCGATTTCTGTACTCGCCGTGTTCCAGTATTTGCATGAAATACTAATCGTACCCTTTACTTCATCGTCGACTATGAAGGCAAAGCTTTCCATCTTGATCGTGGAGATATCTAATCGATGGAAGCTCAGAAACTACTTTGACGGTGCTATAAGATTATCGGCAGTTTGTTCGAAAGGTACAAAATTCTATCATTGACTCGGAGTGAAGAAAGAACTTCACTGTCCTGGAGTCAAGCTCTTAATTACGTCGCGAGGGCGCTGATTGGAGATGGAAGATCCAGCTGTAGTGATCGAGTACAGGGAAGGGCGAACCATACGACCAGAAGAGAGAAGAGACAGGCGGTTTCCAGTACCTCCTCCGGCGTAGATGAGAAGTCACAGATAAATGTGACGTGCTTCGCGGACCACTAAAGCTCTCGCGTACCTACTGTTCAGGAATCCGGTAGTCTTGAATGGGGAACGACCACCTGGCAAGCATGACTCACTCGTTCGACCGAGCTTCGCACAAAGCGAGCTTGTAAACACTTTCCTTGTGGTGTCGTGCTCACAGATGGGGCATGATATGGATCGATGACGCCGTTCAGGACTCCACATCAATTAGGACTCGAAGTAAAATTCCGAAAGCCGTCTCTCCAAATCGTTACTACCCCGGAATCGTCCAAGACCAGCCAGCAATCAATAGTTTGGCCTTCATTCCACAGAGACAGGGCAGATCTCACCAGGACTCAGTAAAACTTAGCCGCGACTCGAAAGTCGGCTCGCAGCAAAAGAATTCAGACCAGCGAGAATGTGGAAAGCCCCACGAGACGACGGCCGAGCAGGTCAGCGGAAGGGTGGCGTGAAAAACGACCGAGATGCGCTGGACCACATGCGAGCGAACCGAGTGAGCAAAAGCTCGCAAAGGCGTTCGTGATCCACACTGCGTTGGCACTCCGCGGCACTTACGCAGTAGCTGATTCGGAGCAACCCGAAGGCCCTTGTGGGCCCGACGGCCACGTCATCGGGGCACGCGCATGGACAGCGATCGATCTTCTGGAACCGGGCTTTTTCTCTTTCGGGAGCGTGGCAGTTGGCCCAGCGCTATCGACATCAACACCAGAATTTGGTGGCTCGGCCAGATTTGGTGGCTCGGTCAGATTTGGGAGCCGGAATAGCGGAGCCAGGATCGTTCATTATTCCGCGCGTGGATGTGCGCGGGCTTGGAATTCGTCTTTAGATTAAACAATTTTCCTGGACCGGGCTGCGGATGATGTGACGAGATTTTCAAGAGAGTCCAGGGCCTCGTCTTCGGAGAGCAGAGAGTCCACAAGGCAAGGCAGGGCAGGGCAGGGCAGGACGCGAGAGTGATGACTGACCACGTTTGTGGAAATCTTTGACGCCGGTTGAAGTTGGTCGTACGCGGATTAAAGGCCACGTTGAGGCAGATCGTTTCATTTGTTGCAGGCGAGGCGGCAATGCTGGTTTCGGTTGGACCGGTGTGCTGAGAAGGAAATCCAAAGAAGCAAGGCACGCACGCACGCAGATAGGGCCTTCATATTCAGCTGGCGTCTCCGGGCTTCGTTCTCATCCGACTCCTCCGTCTCATGCGGCGCCCCAGCTGACGCTCTTCGGTCCACCGCTCTCGCCAGGGGCTGCTACTACACCTTCACAGATTTCGTTTCCCTTCTCGGGTTTTTTTTGAGTCCGGGGTTGTTTCACACACTGAGGATTCGGAAGCTCCGGACTCGTTGCACCTGCCTTTGGACTGGTGCTCTGCCGATTTTGGTGTGCAGCGAGGGGATTCGTTCGTGTTCGTGATCTACGACAGAGAAAGTTGTTCGGAATCAGAGCAGCAGTGGAACTGCAGAAATGGTTTGGAGCAGCAGAGGTCTTGGTTTTACAGCAAGGATGAGTTTCAGACCTTCCTGAACAAAGATTTGACGATTATGCCATTAGACTCGAGGGTGATGGGAAGGTGAGGAGGCATTCAGAGCTGGAAGGATTCGCGGCGCCAGGAGGCAGACTCGGAGAAGGCGATCGTACTGAGGGGGAGAAACTCGTCGGTGCTGATGAATTTTGGATCGAAAATGGGCTCGATGGATGGGTACTCGGGCCTGCTCCCGTTAATTTGGAAACGAGTGAGGAAGTATCGGCTGCGAGACACGTATGAACAGATGAATCCGCGCTACTATCCGCGGAGCCGAAGAAGGGCGATCAAGAGTACGAGATTGGGGAAGCGCTCATGGGGTTTGAAGATTCCGAAGCTGCGCATCAGCATTGTTTCCCCCGCGAGCTTATGCCGGAAGCTCAAAGACGCATACATGCGAGTGGTGATGAGGCTCACCGGGAAGAGCAGCCCGAGCCGATTGGCTTTCGGCAATTATAAATCTTCATCCACGAAACATTCCGGCAGGAGGCTCGAGCACTCGTCCAACGATTCTTCTGTTATATATGTCGATTACTTGCTGTAACGAGGGTCTTTGGGCTCGTCGGCTCCGGGGTACACCAAGTGGTAGCGCCTCAGTCTGCCCGGTCGTGGCTCGAGAAGGCTGACAGTACTCTTGTAAATGTAAATTTAGATTCCAATAGATTTCACCCGAATTCGGGAAAGCCCCGAGGTGGAGGAGAGGCTGATAAAATTGTCAGCTTTCGAAACTATTCAAAAAAGTGAAGTTCCTGAGCAGATCCAGGTGCAGCACCTGCCTGCTCTTCTGTAAAGATACATTTGACTTGCCTCTGTACAATATCTTGATAAGGCTGGTAGCCTAGAGAGTTCAGCTTCAACCGAAGCGTTAGATTCCAGGACATTTGATTGCTCTTTTCTATAGATACCTGAAGACATATTTGTGTCTACATCCGCCTTGAATTCTTCCACTAAGATCGTCTACTCCATGGGAGCTCCAATTGTTGTCCACTTTCTCGGTCAAAGTCCATGCTCCAGAGTCCCAGATTTGAAATTCACCTCCACTTGCTGTTTGATTTTCATGTGTGATGTCTACTGATTCCGATCTTCTCCTTGGTTAGTAAGACCTCACGTTCATCAGGCGGCCGACCGACTTTTGACTGCTGTCCAGCTGCTTTGGAATATTCAGAACAATACAGCAGATCGAAGCGAGGAAGAGCTCAATTTTTCCCTCCTCTTTCCTGTGTCTCGTCGCGCTGCGCTTTATTCCTTCTCCTCCTCCTCCTCCTCTGGCTGCCATAAAAGCACGATCCAGCCGCGGACGCGGAGTCAGTCACTCCTGCGACCGCTGGACGGGACGAGCGAGGAACTTGTAAAGTTGTCATCAATGGGGAAAAGGCCGTCGAGGGACGGACAAAAGCGGCAGGCAGGGAACAGAGACTCGTGCCGAGATCGACCCGAGGCGAACGGTCATTGCAGCGGCCTCACACGCACAACGTGAAATGGGCTTTGTCCGGACGACGGGAACCATGGGCCTCGCCGGTGGCTGTGCGCCCTTTATGGAACCGGAGACCGGGCCGAACATTCCTGTCAGAACGACCCAAGTACCGAGTGGACTAGGAGTCGGCTCGTGCGTGACCCGCGCAGACGCCCGTTCTGTCAGTTCTCGGGATATCGCGCCGGATGGCGTCTTGCTGCTCCACTGGCTTTCGCGCTGTCTTGCGGTTCTGGACCCTCGGTCATACTCGCCGACCGGTACGAGCTCGCGTGTCTTGTAGATCACAGTGTTTTACTCCAAGTCAGACGCTGAAAAGTTCTCGACCTTCGCTTGCTTCACACAAATGCATTTGATTGGAGGCAGTGTCATTCTCGAACGTCCCGGCCGACGTCTGGCCAGGTCATCGTCTGACTAGGATCCACGACGTCTACACCCGTACAGCTAAGCAGCTGCACCCCGTCAGCCGCTTTTAATACCCGTCTGTATCAGTAAGCATTTCATCGGCCTTTTAATATGTTAGCCATCATGGGAGCCTCACGTCACTTCACGCACTTTCAGCGAGAGCTAATCTGTGCCAGCCATCACTACAGTGTTCGTTTGAGTGTGCCGAATTTTCTACCGAGCATGGAGAGTTGTACCTCGGGATTGGCATAATGTATACGGGATCGGATAGGAGCCATTGTATCGACTAGTGCGTTGATGGATTTGTTGCCGATACCACCTCGAAGAGCTTTCTGTACTAAATTTGGTAGAAGGGTTAGACTTTGACAGAGCTCCACATATATACCCGATAATCAGTCGCATATTGAAGCAAGCAAGTAGTTTCGGCCTTCGGCAAGTCTTTTGCGTGATTTATAACCGCCACCAACATCTCGTTCACTCAACTGTACTATGCCAAAGATAGATTCCAGTATCCTCTAGATAATAAGAAACGATTTGTTTTCTATTCAATTAGGCCTTGAAGTACAATATTCAAGTGACAAACTTTAAGCGAGTGTATACAATATTCAAGGCCTAATGTCATGTTCAATTACACTACTGTACTTCATTCGACTGGAAATTTAGGATGAGAGAAGCAGATGTGTGTTCAGTCATTTGTCCTCCAAATACAGTGGAGTCGAGGCTGAACACAAAAGCATGAGGAAATCTTCCAGATACTTCGCACTACACCACCCCCGATCGTAATTATCATGTGTCTGGCATTTGCTATCCTGTCATCGTATTTTATGCTTTCCATCTCCATTTTCCCAAGGCGAGGACAATGATAATTCGAAACTAACACAACAATGCTCCACTGCTTGTTTCTTCCTTTATGGACAGGCTTAATAATTAAATTGTTTCTACATATCACGGTTAGAGAATATTATATTAGCTGTTTATTTCATTCAAAATCGAAGGTTCTCAGCGGAATTGTGCAGACTTCAAGTCCTACCTACCACCACACGATCAGTTAATTATCTTACCAGACCTTATCCATATACTGGTATGGCAAATGCCTAAAAGTCTGAGAGTTCGCCTCCAAACGACGCCGCTTACTAACTGTGCTCAAATCCTAACTGATTGCAAGGTTTCGCGTACCATTTGGATTTAGGTAAATAAATTCATATGATAAGATATTTTGATGTGTTGATTTCACTTGCAGTCTCGTCTTTGATTGTTATATTTCATAAGTTACGTCATTTTCAACTACAGTATAGCTATTTGTCTACCGAAATGCTGATTTGAATTTTGCTATGAAATTGCACCACTTACCTAGACGCGATCATTAGCTTAACCGACATCAATTTGTTTTCCAGATCTTGCCTCACTAGTTGTTAAACTCTTTTTAGGTCTGAATTTCTTCTTTTTTTATATCCGCAGTCTTTCATTACTCATAGTATCCAGCCCATCAATCGTCCAGGTCTTTACAAGCTGGTAAGATTCCACAGTAACGTAAAGTTCACTTACCTACCTTTATTTTTCTTCTTTCATCCTATGTAATGTGGTTCTGCTAGACAGTTAACATATATCTGTGCTGTCAGCCCCAAAATTCGTTTGTCCCATGACACCCATGATGCAAGAAGCTCTAGTCTTGTTAGTCACTTGTTTATTCCTTACGGCACTAATTTGGTCTTGCTTGATGGTAGCTTGCAATTGTGTTCAGAGAGGTGAAAACCGAGCTCGACAAATCCAAGGTTCATTCATCTCAACTATACATCAGAGTTCAAACACAGAGTGCGTTATTTATCTACACTCAACGCGAACAAATACAGATTTTACTCGAAACCTTAAAATATGCGTACTTGATAGTTACGAACAACTTCCTTTATGGTAGCAAGCTAACTATTCTACTAAAATTACAGTATTTGGAATTAACAACACGTAAATTGATCTATAACAAAGTGGTGATCTAGGAACAAAACACTTTGTCAAGTGAAACAACGAGGGGATGTTTTGTGATGTCAATCTAATGCCGGTCATTTCATCCTATGTGATGATCACTGCCAATGAGCATCTAATGTTGTTGTCATCATTCGCAGTTTGGTTCATTGTAATGTTAATATTGATATTCTTTCCTGCATGACAAAGGCTACTGGTTAATCACGTGTATATATGTAACTTTTATCATAAACATAATGTTTTCCTATATAAGATAACATCTTCTCAAGCTTCTGAATTTGCTAGAACTAGTGTTGAGCTTGCATTCGTGTAGAGTTTATGCTTTTTATAGCAACGATGCTTAGCATCGTCATAGCAATTCATGAACTAATCGTGGCTCCATCCAACATGAGAAGATGCGGTGCTTAATCGGGCTGCTGGAGTTTATTAGACGAGGACTTTCAAACAATATTTTGTGAAAGTTTTGGGCAAACAGTTTCGTTATTTTTTCGTTTACATCTAAGTACTTAACTTTAACTGTTGGCAAGAACGATGTGGAGGATGAGGGTTTAGGAGTGAAGCATTGAATAATAATTAACAATGATTATCTTGAAGATAAAAGTGTTCTTAACGATTATAACCAATTGATATACGTTTCTATGTAAAAAAAATTCAAGAACTAAAAAAATTATTGTAATATATCTAGTAATATACCAGTTTAATCATTTTAATCGATATCTACAATAATCTAAAAATTTGAAAATAAATATTTTTGAATGAACCAAATAAGAGAAACGCGTTCCCACTTATTATAATAAATCGTCAAAAAATATCAAACCAAAATTATAAAATACAAGTAAAAGTAATTTGTATTCGATGTAATCAAGTAGTATGTGCTTTCATTATCTTATCTCTGATTTTCAGAATTAAGCAGCAAAGAATTCATTATCAATATTAAGAAATAAATGTACAAGATTCTCAAATATTTTATAATTTTTAGTTAGATTGATAATATTAGTATGTGTGTTTGTATCAGCCGCCCTAGCTCAGTTGGTAGAGCGCAAGGCTCTTAACCTTGTGGTCGGGGGTTCGAGCCCCCCGGGCGGCGCTCAGCAATGGGTAGGTGGAGATTATTGTTCAAGATTCCTAAGACTAATCAGTTATTACAAATTGCAGATTTTGAAGTTTTTAGTAAGTTGTACATTTATGAATTCTTATAAGAAGGTTAAATTTTATTTCGATAGTATTAATTTTATATCGATTTACAATTAAATCATATGTATATGATTAATAGTAAATCCTATGTCTTCTTTCTCTCTTAATTTTACAATATTGCTGTAAATATGTGATATGAAAAAGATCTATCATCACAGCAGAATTAACTAGTCTGTTGGTTTTGTATTGGTTTTATAATTCTTGAAATTGTAGTTTTAATTGATAATAACATCTTCCTTTACTTCAAGAAACAAGTCTTTTGAAGATTTTTAATAAATGAGATCAAAATCTAGATTCAAATCTATTGTATTTTTTTAATTTAAATGTATAAATCTGAATTAAACAAAGTATAATAGTCGGACATATAATAATTATATAGACTACACTAAACATAATATATTGCACGGTTTATTATTTTTTTCAACTCAAATGTCTATATGATCAGTTCAAGTAACACTCTTTAATGTATCTTTTGTACATTTTCATCTGTATAAAACTATGAGTGCATTATCACTCACTGTATTTTATCACATGTATGAAAGTAATTAGAATTGTTTTAATATGCACATCATCAAATTAAGGGAGCTGTACAATTTAGGACTTTAAAATCATGTATGAACTACAGCCTAACCTTGATAACGTCACCCTTGTTATTAAAACACCTTGATATTGTCAACTAAAAGTTTGAAACCAAATGTTCTACTGTAAAACTCCCTCGTTATTATCATTATCATCCTTGATAATGTCACTATTTTTTTCCAAAATTTGTAGTGTAAGTGTGATAATATCAAGTATGGATGGATTGTATGTAACAGTTGGATGGACATATTGTAGTAGCAAAAAGTTCATTGCTTAGGTACAATACTTGATTTGATACATCTTGTTGTTGCTTCGATCTTACACACAATTAAGAGGGAGTTTTTGACGGCACTTGCTTTGATCAGCAGTGTTTGAACTTGCTTCACTCCCGGCACTTGTAGTTGGAGCAACAAGAAGGCCAGCTTGAGCGGGCATGCAACTCCAACATCCGAAGGCCCTGCGTGAGCGGACACTGTCATAATTGCATCAAGTGAGGGCTGAAAAACACTATCAACTCTAACTTATTATGTGTTTCATTTGTGCGAAGAATTTTAGTTCTTTTTTGGATCATGAGCATGATGGGAGCACATCACTAGGATGTTATCTAGATTGATGGTGTTCATAGTTTTGATTTCTGCTGCTTTTGGTGGGCTTGACCCAGTTTGAAGTTCGTCGTTTCAAGCTCGTTTCTATGAAGATGGTTTTTTCCGTGAAGATGGTTGTTTAGAGTATGATTATGGGCTGAGTGTGCTTCTGGATGAGTGGTAGTGTTGTGTCGTTTTGGTTCTCGTTTTCTTGCTGTGCTTGGTGATTTCAAGTAACTTTAAAGTTCCATGTTTCAGAATTTTGGGAGGGGTGTGTCGATGTGTTATGTGGAGATCGCTTTTGTGTTCTTTTGAGCATCGGCATACTGGCGCATTTGTAGAAGGTTGGCCTCAATTCTGAGTTCTCAATTTTGGTAGGCCACTCAGCAAGGATATCAAAATCCTTGCAGTCATCCATACGCCTTTGCCTAAACAACCAACGATCAAACCTCGGCATCTACGGTGCGTTACGTGTTTTGGTTGAACTTGTGATGACACATGAATAAAGTTGTTGCTGAAACAATCGAATGCACTAGTTTTGCTCAATTACCATGATGACTTATATTGAGTGCTCATTTTGTGAAATGATTTGGCAGATACAGGTACTTCCCATGGCAAGTACATCCACTCGCAAAAGGATGAATTTATCAACCTCTCATAAGAAGAAAATGTGTGAAGTCCACAAAGTTCATCCTAGTTTGAAACAGGAAAAACTCGCACAGTATATGGTGGACCAACATAAATTCAGGCTTGTGGACCGTACCACTATTTCCAAGATTCTTCGTGGAAAAGAGAAGTGTTTGAGTGCAGATAAATCTGTGCAAGAAGTCAATGTGTGACGTGCTCGAGTTGGAAAATGGCCTCAGCTTGAGCAAAGTTTTGGTTTTATGGTTTGAACAAGTTAGGGCACAAAAGGGAGTTGTAACTGATGACGTCATTATGTCCAAGACTATAAAATTGGCATATGCAATACTGAGTTCAAGCTTTTTCATGGGTGGTTGCAAAATTTCAAAACTCGACATGGAATTAAGTGTTATTATTTGCATGAAGAAAGTGGAGGTGCAGATGAGATTGAAGTTGCATTGGCCATGGTAAAGATATCATTCATATTGAAGAAATATGAACCAGAAGACATCTTCAACTTTGATAAGATAAGTTTGTATTACAGAGTCTCTTATAGCAAGACTTTGAATATTGGAAAGTCAAAAGGAAATAAGAAAAAGAAGGATTGTGTGACATTGGAGCTTTGCACTAACATCTCACCAAGGAGCGATTGAAGCTTGTTTTCATTCACAAATCTGCGCGTCCTAGATGCTTTCCTCGGAAGTTTGATCCAAATGATATAGTACATTATTATTCTAAGAATTCAGCCTGGATGAATGGTGATGTTTTTACACATTGGGTGAAGAGTGGGAACCAAAGAATGACATTGCAATATAGACAAATTTGCATTATTATGGATAATGCATGAAGCCATGATATTTATAGTGAGATCAAGAAAGTTATAGATGGGATTAATGCCGTTTTACTCTCCTATATCACTATCTTGTTCCTTCCACCAAATGTGACTTCAATTGTTTAGACTTTGGATTAAGGAGTGATTGCAACATTCAAAATGTGCTATAAGTTTAGCTTGTTGCCTGGACTACGCAATAAATTGATAACTCGGATGAAAATTTGAGTAAACTGAATATTGATATCTTTCAAGCAATGCTATGGTGTGTGGTGTCATGACATGAATTAGATGATCAAACCATCAGAAACTGTTGGAGATCGTCCGTCGTATTGCGTGCAGAGTGGAATGCAGATATTAACCATTGCAATGAAAGTATGAAGTTCAAAATAGAGGAAGCAACTTTGGAATTGGGCAATCTCATCGCCACATTGAATTTGGTTTTGGATGTTGAAGTCAAGCCTATAGAAAAGCTTAGTCCTTTGCAGTACATAAACATGGAAGGTGAAGATGATTTTGAGGTGGAATATTCTACTGAGTAGCTTATGCAATTAGTGCAAGATGGCAAAGAGTTACTTGATTCCATGGAAGAAGACTCAATGATTGTTGATAGCAATGATGATGAGTATAAAGTAGTGAAGCTAAGCGAACACATAAATATGCTAAGTATCTTTTGAATTTTATGGCTAGCCAAGGTTCTCAATTTTCAACACTCAAGAGTTGTTAGAAATGGAAAAATTCCATGACAAACTCATTAGAATTGATGTCAAACATTTAACATCACTAAAACAATGTAACATTAGAAACTTCTTTGTCTTTAGTGAGAGTTTTCTACTTGATCTCAATGACATATTATGATGTGTTCTTGTTGTCATTCAAAGTTTTGAATTATATTTTACATTAAAATTTTTTGAAGTATTTTATTTGTTTTTTTTTTTTACATTGTAATTTTGTTTTGATTCTTTACTTTTTTTTTTTTTATAATATCACATTATGCACAAATCTTCAAAATGTGACGTTATAAAAAATGTCACATTTTTGAGAAATATTATCAAGGTTAGGGTGTATATTCACAACAATGAGTACACTGAAGATATTTGGTTTATTTGGAGAGATTTAGAACTTGTTTCATCAATCGTTTAGCTCGAATATCACTCGACACATGTTGAGTTTCTGAAATGTGCGTTGGTAAACTTCATTGAAGCTGGGAACCTTGGAGAATTACTTTAGTCACCAGAAAAGAGACTGTATAAGTCAGCTGTATTTAGGGCGATTGGAAGGTATTTTAAGTCTAAAAAGATACACTTCGGCACAAGAAGAAAGAAGAAGCGAAGTCCGCACACTGAAATTAAAGCAGAAATGCATTCCAAATCTGCAAGGAATTGTTGCAGATTTTAATTTGAAGTCGACAAAATGTGAGCAAAAGTGATGCCACAGTGAACATGTGGCTTCTGGGTCATACGTGTGGATCCGAGATGACGTGGCACTTGGAAAAGCCGGCGCGGTGCACCAGACAGCCTCCATTATCCGGAGAAAGATCGAGCTCTCAGGATTCAGGGTTTATGACTACGACTCGGATCATGGAGTCAGCATGTGAGGAATGAGGTGCTTGCGACGTCGCAACAATTGTCTGGGCGTGAATTGAGAAATTACGGTCAATTCGTCAAGAAGCAGAGGTTGGAAGAGAAGAATTCCGTGTCGAAACAAGATGGCTGCTGTTGCGCAAATCTCTCTGTTACGCGGGTCGGCACCTCTCAGCCGCTTGTCTCTGGTAAGATTTTCCATTCACAATTGTGACGAACGAGATTGGGATTTGTAAGTTGTTGATGGATTTTGAGCTAACTGTCGAGATGGTTTATTTCCGGAATTCCCTCGTGGCATGAAATTTGTGTGCGATGTTTACGGATGAATGGGAATGGAGATGTTGCTGTTGATTATTGCAATGTAGTACATGTTGCCAGTTAGGGCCGAGACTACCCAAAGCCGTGGATTTCTTGCCGACTCGGGCTGATATTTCGGCCACCTCCGGAAAATCTGGCCAGAAGAGGGTAGAATCTGAGCCATGAAATCGTCGCTCTTCTTTTCTCGGTTTCTTTCTCTTCCTCTTTTGTCCAACAACCACTTGAGTCATCTTTGCTTTTACCCTGCATGTGCAATCTATGTAAAGCCCAAGAGCTGCGTGGCCTCTGACCGATGAGTACGAGAAGGTATTTTACTCTTGAAAATTATCTTGTCGAGTCGACGAAGAAGACGCAGACCTGTGTAATTACTCGGTATAAACGTAGTAGGCTTGCATGCTGTTCATTTCGATCAGTGATTTTCGGAATTGAGATGAATTTACGTAAACTGAAATTTCTTTTCTGATTCTGCTCGAGCCCTCACGAGGAAACTTCACATCTTTCTTTTTGGTTCAGCTTTTACTCCATACCCTCTCGTCAAGGTTAATCGTTCTTTCACTGGATGCACTGGTTTGAGAAGAGGTGTGCATTCTGTGTACCAAAAGAAATTTCGAATATGATTGAATGTGGAAACACCAAAGTTGAAGGTCTAATTTGAAATCGCGAGAACAATCCAACGATGAAGTTTCTTTCTTGGGAACGATGTTTTCAGGTCTCTTGATTTGAATGCTGAAGAATGAGATCCAATTTAGCATTTAACTGCTTCTAGCTGAATCCTTGTATACTGCTTGTTTAAGCCTGTGTTTGCCACACGCATCAACCTTACGTACAATTTTCTCTTCCTCCTTCCTTTGTGGCTTCTCGTTCAGACGTAGTTGCCTTCCTCTTTCAATCCGCGGATGCAGAGCTGACATCATTCAATTTATTGTCGCGGTTTCATACCGTTTCCAAAAACAGAGTGGTTTTAGTAAGACTACTTATCATAATCCGGATCGTTTTCCTTGTGCAGAAGGTGAACAGAGCCTTCAGTTTCTGTGGTTTTCCTCAAACTGCAGGGTTGCACCGATCGCTTCAACAGGTCGGTTTCGGCGAGATGCCATCGTTTTACTCAAACAGTGCCGCTCCGGGAAATTCAAGTGGTCTTCACACCAGGAAGCAACGTTTTAGTACTAATGTCGTAACTTCAAGATTGCAGATCGATATGGTAAGCATCTTGATTTGAAAATATTGTTCTCCGTAAACTCGTGGGAAACCTTTTGATCTTGAAGCGAAAACCAAATCGGCGACGAGATATCGTCACAAAATTGAGGTCATCCAACATTGAAAGCACATGTTTAGGGCCAATGTGGATAATAATTTTTTTATTTACGTTCACTTGCTAGTTCTTTCTTTCTCTTCATTTGTTGGCTTATGTTTTCAAACTAACAGGCTCCTCATCTTCTATGTAGAATTTCAGCTGGAGCTATGTGGGGTGTGCATCAGGTTCCATGTTTGGTGGACAATTATGCATATCTCCTACATGACGTCAACGCAAGAGTGACTGCGGTAGTAGATCCATCAGCGGCAGGGCCTGTTATCAGAGCTTTAAATGAGAAGGGACTCTCCTTGGACTTCATCCTCAACACACACCATCATTGGGATCACACTGGTGGAAATGTTGAGTTGAAGCGAAAGTACAACGCAAAGGTGAGATTTGTGTCCCCCCTCGGACCCGGACTACGAGTACAATATATATTTTATTCGGTTGGGCAAAGCGCGATGCTTGGCGTTGTATATTTATTTTAAAATGCGGATTGTTCTCTAGTCTGTTTCACGGATGATGAGTTACCTTGTGTTGTGCGAGAGCTTTCTTTCTTTTCACTTTAGGATATTGGGTAACGAACAGTTTCTGTTCGTCCAGAAGGCGAAACCGAAACACGTTGCGAGTTCTATTTAAGTAGAATTCTTGCAAAAAATCATTGTCTAACAGAACATAAAAAGGTATCTTTAGTAAACACGGGCTACGGACAGTGGATCTATGTGGTGATGCGCATCCAGGATATGCAATTATCGGATCCGTACCGCTCTGTTGACATGTTCTAATGTTGCTTATGTTCTCGTGTATGTCCCTTCCTTGTCTGGATACCTATGTGTTCCCGATATGACCGTAGCCTTCTTTGCTGTCTACTTAAGTACCCTCAGGTCTTCCCACCGTCTTCTTATTGCAGTCTAATGCTTTTCAGTTTTCATATCAGGCTTTAGTGGTAATTACTAGGTACGAATATAATTTACGGTGACTTAAAACCAGATGTTAAGCTTACTGGTTTGTGCTTTCATCTATTGTTAATGTTACACTGACGCCCCGTCACCAGACCTTGATCGAGTTTGAATAGTCCGTGTACGTGTGTCTGTCTACTGGCATCCTGGTACATTCCTTGTGGCTTTCGAAGTGACAAGAAGCCAGTAAAATAAGTAATGTTCAGAAGGGAGCGTTCGGCCGTTTGGGACGTGGTCAGTCAGGAGTTCTTTCATAAGGATGCCATACTTTCCAGCAATCTTCGTCTTCATCGAATGCTGCTATTTGTTTTCATGAATTCTTTTTCTGTCAGTTAGCTTATCATTGGGCGCTAGTTGATGTAGGTTGTTGGTCCTCGGGCTGATGAAGGGCGCATACCAGAGATTGATATTTCTTTGCGCGAAGGGGAATGCTGGAAATTAGGGGAGCATGTGATGCATGTTTTGGACACACCTGGTCATACTCGAGGTCTGTATTAGTTGATCTAATATGATAATTGGTGAAAGCTCTTTGTCTATTTTATCTAGGTGGCATGTCTTCTTTCAGTAGATTTGGTTAACGTGTGACACTAAGAGGTAAGAAAGTTGTGTACAGGACATGTGACATTCTACTTTCCCGATTCTGGAGCCGTCTTCACTGGTGACACTTTGTTCTCGATGGGATGTGGTCGTCTATTTGAGGGAACGCCTGAACAGGTTATTTTTCAGAAGCTATATAAAATTTAGGAACTTGAGGGATATCAAGCATTGAAAGCTGCGTTTGTAACTTATACTACTCTGTATGTGAACTAGTGTTTGATGTCTTCATCGATTTGTACCGCTGATGACTTTCCTAGCTGTTCAAGGCACTTGACACCCTTGAAATTCCTTTGAAAAAGTTTATGGTGAATGTAGGTATTCAGTAGAAAGAAAAGTCATTGATTCGTTTATGATCGTTTTCTTAGATGTGGAATTCTCTTTCGAAGATATGTCATCTGCCAGATGAAACTTTGGTCTACTGTGGACACGAGTATACACTGGTACGTCATCATTGTCTCTTGGAAATGAACTTTTTTTCTCTTGGAACAGATAAGATGAATGCATGTGAATTGAGTCTCTCTCTTGACCTGTTGCGTTACTTGAGCAAGTCTCGAGCAAGTCTTGAGCAACTAGTATTGTATATCAAAATCAAGCCAATCTCTCAGTAGAAGACAGGTTTCATTTGTCATGAGAGGTGTGAGTGTATGAATGCCATTTTGAATGAGCACATGTTTGTTTAGTCCAACGCAAAATTTGCAATGTCGGTGGAACCACAAAATGAAGCTCTGTCGTCCCGGTATGAAAAAGTTGCCGAGCTGCGTCGAAAGGGTCTCCCCACGGTACTTCTCAATTGAACTTTCTGATCATGTTTGTTGTTTTTGTCCATGCCTGCTTTTAGATGTTATCGGTTTTTTGATCTTGTTCCAGTTCCATGCTTTTTCTCCGTCTCTTGCCTTTCAAATGATAATATGTGGTGTGTGATTGCAATGTTATTGTTACCTCGTCTCTCAAGCATGGAAGCTGGATGTGATCTTTGCAGGTTCCAACTTCTCTAGGAGAGGAAAAGAGTTTCAATCCGTTTTTGAGACCTTTTAGTCAGGAATTGAGAAAGTCCGTGCATCTGAATAGTTCTGCCAGTGATGTGGAAACATTTGCAGCCGTGCGTTTGGCAAAGGACAGGTTCTGAAGTTTCATGCTCTTCTGATTACTTGTATATCATGTACACTGTAAATATATTGTAAAGCACTTAAGAATTGCAGTATTTGCAGCAAAAATTATATGCCTGTTCCGTGTTTGAAGAGTAATGAAGGTATTGATCTACAGATATCAGTTCTCTGTTCCAGCGCTTGGTCCGGGTGTATGTAGACATGGAATGAATCGTGGGGCTAGATTCGATACAAAGATGCACGAAATGATGGCAGAGATCAGGAAAGACTGGCGAGCTGTATGCTTACGCCGGACGTGACTTTTTGCTTTGCTACTCTCATAGATTTCAGGTTGTGCTCACATACTTAGTTGCTTAGTGCCAGTGGTCCGTAGTACACACTCCGGATTCGCATAGAGAAAGGAAATACAGCAGACTTTCAACGAGATCAATAGTGGGTTACTGTTGTAGATTAACTAAGCACATTTTGCGGATATAGAATTTCAACAAAATGGAAAGGCGAAATTTCGTGATCGTTAATAGATCAGATAAGTAACTTGCTGAAACTGCGAGATGACTAAATATCCAGTCTCAACGCCGCCGACTTGACGACGCGTGGAACAGGTTCACAGGCAAAGCTGTCGATCGATACATGTCGAAGATACACGGGAAAAGATACATTTTGGGTGCAGATTTTGGGTCCCTTTATGACTTGAGAATGTATAGTTAGTGCATACTAGATGTCACACAATCGATGTGGAAGACAAATTTGACTCAATTTCGTAAATGTATTGGCTCACATGGGGACGGTGTGATGATTGTGTAGCGTCTTGTATATTCCTGTTAGTTCATGCCAATTTTACATCCTAAGTCAACCGGTTTCATGCAAAATTTGTAGTGGATAGTATTAGTTACTGCTGTATGTTTTAGTTTATTCGTAATGCTGAATTGAACATATTACTTTCTTACATAATCCGATTCTTGTACCTTCTAACACTTTGTAATTGAGATTGTCTTTCTAATCTAAATCGTATAATGTCTCTATCGTAATGATCGATTTGCTCAATAATACTCAGTCCTTTACAAAAACGATTTGATTCTCTTTGTCAGTAGAAAATATCAGTAAAATATATTGACCATAAAATCTATAAATTTTGTAGAACACCTCTGAACTATAATTTTGTTTTTTCAAGAATGATTCGTTCGTAGTTTTTTTTCATTGACTTGCACATAATAGTCTCTATGATATAAAGTTTGAGATTATTGCAAAGTTATCATTGGATTCTTCAACAGGTGATAAATAGAATCAAAGAGGATAACTTGAGTTCATCTCGTTCTCTTCTTGGAAGAATTATCGTTCGAATCAATTTTTCACAAATAAATAAATAAATAAATATACATAATAGTATCAAAATATTGATACAAATTTTTTTTCAAGCTTCACATCTTTGAGAACACATAGAAAGCATATAAATAATCAAATCATTAGCTTAAAAAATAGGAGACCTACAATTACGTTAATTGACTGTCTTTTAAGATAATTATTTTTTAACCCATGATTTGAATAATCTAAATTTTATATTAATTTTAGTTTGAATATTTAAAAGATATACAGAACAATCCAATTGAGGCATTATGTATAAATCTTGTGTGATCTAAACTTTTTATAGTAATTCAATAACAACGAAAGTTTATTCGATATCATCCATTTTCAAAAAATTACATCTCAAACATCTATTACTATATTGAAATTTTTTTATACATTGTTGATGAAGTGTTTATAAAAAAAATATGGTTAACAACAACATTTAAACAAATTTTACAACATGCGATTTCAAAGTGCACGATATGAGCATTTTTAAATTGCACGCTGTAAAATCTGTCATCGCACACTGTGAATAATATTCAAAGTGTGCGATGACGATGTGCTAATGAAATTTTAAGCCAAATCCATCCATCCACATTCTACACAGTGGCATGCATTCATATTAACCTGAAAACCTTTCATAGAAAGTTATGGTAACCTTTGAGAACATGATAAGAAAATATATTCAGAGTATATGACATGAAACTTGACATGAAGCTATTCTCATTCGACAACTTTTTGTGAGTATAACACTCTTTCGGTTTTCGTCTGGTTTCTGCATATAATATTTATTAAAGATTCGTAGTTAACATGTATCTGTTGCTGTTTATAGAATCCATATGGTAAATATCAGATTAGGTGATGATGAGTATGAGGATGTTCAAGTATACCATTGAGTCTAGAGACTTAAGATATCTTCGGTACAGTAGCAAACATCGCCCGTTGTCATGGTATTGAAGAATTGTCCCATCTGACTCATCTGGTTTCATCCATGTTGGGCTTGGTGGTGCTTCCCATCCTTTCTGCGATACATGTCTTATGTACTTCATAGCATATGTTTTTCCTTCATCATCGCATTACTATAAGTCCTATGCAGGGGTTGTGATCGTTCATGATGATTACAGTCGTCAAGTCTTCCAAGAGGGCAAATACTTTAGGATGTGTATCTGTACTAAGCAGCAGAGGTAAAACCTCTATCATACAATCGTACACAATCATGTTCCTGGCACAAACCTACACATTTGCCGTTTCTGTATCCTACCGGGGCATTGTGCAGGTCTGGCACCAGCAGATTCTCCTTGGAATGTAGTTGGCTACAGAAAAGAAAACCGCACAATATCTCAAAACCGTGTGCCCTTGTTCTATCAATCACTTTGATCTTTTTGGTGGTAAGGAGCCATTTTGAACCATGGTTTGGTGGCCTGAAAGGTTTGTGAATCTGGAGCCTTCCAAATCTCACTAAGGTCAGGGCCGTCGATCCTTTATAATATTCTTATATGGAGAATCTGAAACCTTCCATACCTGTCTTGCTGGTGGTTGTGCGCAAGTTGAAAGCGTCTTTTGGTTCTCTACTGTGTAGTGAGCCTTGTATGCATCCAAAAGATTACTAACCTGCCACAATATCATCCTCCGGGGAAATCTGTGCAACGACAGACTTTTTCACCAGCTATACGACCTTATGCTCGTGTACAAAGAGAGTCTATATTACTGAAAAATCCAAAAGTATACGGCTACCTCCCATCTTTCTAAGTTCATAGTTCACAATAAAAGATATGCCATTCAGTGAAGAATTACAAAATGGCTGCAAACACAGTACTTCCTCTTTTGGGCAAGTTCCAAGTCCCGCCAGCGGTAGATTACCAACCTTATACTAGTCACACAACCACTGATCACAAACCAGTCCTTTCACACAGTTTCCAACAAGGATTTGTTTTGACCCCTGTTTCACTTTGGATCCGATCTTGTGCATCTCACTGTCTCTGACTCATGGTTCCCATAATGTTTTCGCAACATCACCAGCATAGGAACAATCGCAGGAAAACTCGTAACTGAATACATCTCCCTTGTCAATTGCAAAAGCATGGTAGCATGTGAGATTATTGATGGACAAGTTGCATGACATTGTGAGTTATAACTCACAATGCCATGTAAGAAAATGCCATGCAAGTGAAGAAAATTCCCGCGTTCCAATACTCGATCAAGTTTGTCGAAGGCATTCGGTGAAAGACCACTCTATTCCACAAAACATACAGTGTTCATAATATACCACTGACCCTAAAAAATGGAACCCAAATTTAGAGCTCTCTTCGATACTTTCAATCAGAATCAAAATGGGTATAGAGGCTGGAAGTTGTTCTACAAGAATAAAATGCGAGGGGATCCAAGTATTATGGCAAAAAGGAATTGTTGTAAATATAGGAACGCGGTATCTCAAACGTGGCATGTAACTGGAAGGGAGGGAGGGAGCTGCAGGTCGAAAAATGCCGCAAAAAACAAGAAAGAAAACTATAACTGGAAGAGGGGTTGGAACCCGGCGGAGACTTGTTGACTTTGCCGATGCTCCCACTAGTTGGGAGGAATCATCGGGCCGATAATGTCCTGAGGAAGTGACATACAAGAATGGAAAGGAAGAGTGGGACAGCTCTGTGACACACCAGCAAATAAGGAGGTTTCATGTATGCACTGTGCATGTTACCCAAGAATCTGTGCGCCATAATTTGCTTGCAGCTACTGAAGAACGAAGAACGAAGCTCGGAAGCTACATGCTTCCATCCTACTCCATGCATGTACCGTCCTCCTCAATCAAAACCGATAAATCGCATGTGCCCTCCTCTGGGATCACCTATGGTACGTGAAAGGTCCCATGAATCCCCGTATGCGACTGCTCTTGGACGTACGTAAGCGTCTTTCGAACGCTCTTGGTCTGCAAGGAGGCCGGACAGCTCACATCTTCCGCTACAATTTACCCATCCATCCCTCAGGTCGTACCCTAAGCTTCATCCAGAAGTAGCCCGAAGCTGGTATGTATCGTAGGAACAATCCTAACGGAAACGTGAAATCCATCCTTTCCCAAGCTCCCGGTCATGGTCCTAGTTTTCTTGAGATTTCATCAAAGCAAGGAAAAGATCCGGATTTCGTTAATCTTGCTGCATTCCCACGATATATCTTCAGGAAGATTTATACATTAAAGAATAAGATGGTGTAAGTGTTACTCATTCATGTGTCGATGTCAAGGATTAAAGCGTGATGATCTTTGACCGAAAGTTCGAAATATTATTATTATCATTATCTTCTATTGGTATGTATATGACTTTTACATTTCTAGCCGTTACGGAGGTATTCCTCAGAGTGAATGTCTCGGAGCAAAAAGGCGGCAGAGAAGTGGATCAGTTTCGTAGCATACAGTATCTAGAAATTTTTTATAGTATCGTAAGGACGATGATGTTTTTCGTATAATAGCCAGAAACATCAGAAGTCAAGATACGGCGTATTCGAGTTCCGGAAGATGTGGAAGTGCTGGCACCCATTGCGTTGCGTCAGTTGTTGGCGAAGGCACCATTGCAAGAGGCGTTCAGGGTAGCGAGAATGCCGGATGACGTGTCTGGAATGCCGGATGCGTTGCAAGATGACGCGTTCGTACTAGATGCGGCACAAGAATCTGGCTACGTCGAGCAGGGTGTCGCCATCTGCTGATTTTGCACCGTTATGGCGTTCACACCAGCGGGGTAACGTTCCGCGCGGCGTAGCTTGGACGTAACTTCCATGCAGATGAAAAGAAAGCTGTCGTCCGAAAAAGTGAAAGAAACGAAGAAAGACGTGAAAAGCGCGAGGCTCCCCGAATGACGAAGGGAAGAGTGTTCAGAAAAGATTCACACAAACATGAATCGTCTCACAAGTCGAGTCACTCGGAGCCGGGCTCTGGCACTCCGAGACGGAGGGAAAACAGAGACTTGGCTGTCTTTGCATCCTCCTGTTCAAACAAACTCATGGCTCGGGTAAAGAATAGAACAGGATCTGAACTTGTCGAGTGAAATTTCCCAGATCTATAATTTCTGAGAAAAGTTCGGGAATTGAAGAACAGCGGCAGGTATCGACGTGTGAAGGTAAGCCTGAGAAGAACTACGAATTATGACTGCCATGTCCGTGTTCATGCAAAGAAAAGTAATCATGCATGTAGTGAGTCAGATTTGTGCCGAGGTTCACGACCAGCTGTTTGTAGACCAGACAAAGAACCGAAGGCTGACACCCTTCCATGGAATCTCAAATGAGAGTGAGGAGGGGAGATGTGATCGCACCCTACTTCCCACACGAACACATGCAACTTTCTTGCAGTCTGACGAATGAGCCTCTTGTTTAAAACAAAACCTGGACAGATTCTTTTGTTTCCTCTGACCATGCCAATGCACCATGGATTCTCGCTGGTGGATCGAAATTCCTCCGCTGATTATCGCTAAGGGTTCCACAGCTTTGTGGCCTGAGGTCCGGGTAGGCATAAACAGTCTGGTTAATTGGTCGGTGAAGATACAGGATGAGGGTGGCAGGTCTCGGCCCCTCGAGTATGGAACTAATCCAGGAGTAGATCTAGGCCTGTTATCGAGAGATTGACCACCACCTTCGAGGAGCCGAATATTCAGGCTGGACGGCTCAAGCCTACGGACTTACGACGGATAAGACATCGAACCCGTGTAACAGAAGTCTAGAGGTGTCTGCTTTTCCCTGTTTGGTTCGGAACGAGCTTGCGTCTCGTGCGAACAAAGTGCCAGTGGGAGAATCTGTCTCGCGATTTATTCTGATGCTCGAGAGTGCCACTGTCGCCTGAAAGGGATACGACGATTTTGGGAGTGAGTAGATGGCCGACAGTTACCAAATGTTATCTCGTGTGCCAGTTTCAAGCGAGATGGAAGACAGACATTGTTTGTCAGCGAGAATAGTTTGTAAGTGACCTTGAGTTCCTAGGGAGTCTCAAACCAAGAGAGGCCAGCATGTAAAGCCCGCGACGGTGATTCTTTGTGGATGCCCAATAATATGAGGTTTTGCTGCGCGCTTCGAGGACAAGAATCAACGTGTGTTGCGGCTTAGGCTCTTAGCTCATTTGTCGAAGGCTTTTCGTTTCTGCATCCGTCAACTTGGTGACATCAGACAAATCCATGCTTCCCGGGACTAAGGTCGCTGCTAACAACCACGTGAAATAGCAAATTACTGAGCCATGATTTGGTTGCAAAAGGACAAAACATCATCGGGACAAAGCATTCATCTGGGACCAAAAGCGATCGACCCTTTTGAGGCCTGAACTCTACTCTAGTCGGGGTCTCGGGTCTCGGGCCTCGGGCCTCGAGCCTCGAGCTCGGTGAGTTCTTAGGTTGCAATTCGCCGCAAGAGGATGGAAGAGATCGGGGCAACGAGCACCGTGTTGGAGACTACATAGACTGCGTGTTCACGAATGCTGTGCAGGTGAAATCGCTCTTTCAGCTGCGCCATCTTCGGGTGATTGCAAGCCTCCTCCTCATGCCCCGCCAGTCTTTACTGACCTGAACAAAAAGACCCTGTATCTAAGACATAGACGACAAGCGTGAGGGTTTCCATGGGCCAAACTGTGCACTAGAGCGCCCCTTTTCGAGCGGGGTGCAACAAAAGTGTGCTTTCGGACAACGGACGGTCAATGTGCAGACCAGACCAGAAGAATCCCGCAGCTTAGAGAGATGTGGAACAACAAAATGCTTGAGACATTAAAGAGTCTAGCCCAAATCCGAAGAACAATATTGACTTAACTAATCTGTTCCTAGTTTGCTTTTCCTTGCTGTAATAATGCGTCGCCCGCTCCATGCTCGAAAGATTGTACAATTATAGCAACAAAAGGAAAAGGATTGGTACACTTATAGCAAGAGACCGTATTAATTATAAAGTTTATTAACTTTTAGTGTATCACGTATCAAGTTGATTAATCGTAACACTTGTATTAGTAGGAGTGGGACACTTACAACAACAGGTCATGCAACTTGTAAGAAGAAGAATAATAGCTGAGTGAATAACATGCGGATCATTTTCAGGGGATGTGAAGATGGTGATGCTGATGGTGAAACGAAAAACCAAAGAACTGCATCCCACAGAAGGGAGAGGAGGTTTCTCAGAGACGTACTCGGTGGATGAGAGAGTCCGCCATCAAAGACAGAGCGCTACGATCTGCGAACTACCGATTGTACTGTACTATCCGTGCCACGGTTGGCGCTCGTACCGGTTACCGGTTACCGGCGGTGACCCAACAGAAACCGATTCACCAGCAAGCGAATGTCCTGGCGTGCAGACTTTAAGCAGAGGCCGGACTCCGAGTTTGCGTCAGCCTGATCCGGAGAGGCGGAGGAGGACGGGCTGCGAGGCAGGAGCCGTGAGGCGACCGGAGCTTGGGCTCGAGGACGGACGTGAGTCGGTTTCCGCCGGCGACACGGGGAGAAGAAGATCCACCAGCAACCGAAAGGGGAATGGCAAGCGACGGCCGAAGGGAAAACATTGCGCCGAGACGTTGGAGGGTGCGATACTGTATAATGAATGGGGGGAGCGGGGGCGAGGTCGCCCGCTCTGCGCTTTCGGATGATCTGACTCATTCGGTCGGCACTCTTTGGGATAGGCTGCACGCTATATAACAGATCATCAATCTCTTACTGCTTAAGCTCCCCCGTCCCGAAGAATCAGATGGACATTGTTCCCATAATATCTGCTCGCAGCAACACGCCGGTCTTCCCTCGGGCCGCTTTACGCCATCGTAATTTAAGCGAGAATGAAATTTCATTTCCAAATTGCTTGGCCGCGCTGAAATTTCGAAACAGTCCCACCCGGCGACATTCCATCTCCTGTACGCGACCTGTTGAATGTTGCCGAGTCGGTATATAACCCGCAATACGATGATTTGTTGGCATATGCTTGACAAGAAATCGTTGCTGCACCTGAAGCACGCGTGACGCTTGGATCGTAGAGATTAGACGAAGCGGCAGAGACAGCAGCAGCAGCTGGTGGATAGAGCGAAGAAATTGCTCTCGAGGGGCATCATGACCAGTTGCAGCTACTCAGCGCTTTTGTCAGCCGAGGATGTGTACGAGTATCATGCACCAGACGGTCAAGCATATGAGGTCAGGCATTGTGTGAATGGGTTCATCGTGTTTGTGTTCATAAAAACGTTTGGTACACGTAGCAGCTGCAGGACCTGTTGCTTACTTTCCTCTGGCGTCGTCGAGTCCTCGTACAACTGGAAGCTGTGATGAATTCCTGTCTCTCTCTCTCTCCCTCTCTCCCTCTCTCAATGTGAATGCATGCATCTGTTCCGAGGCCTCACCTCCCTACGCTCCGGCTTGTGTTTATTAAGATGTCTACCTGCGAGCATTCAGTTCACATCTCACGAATCCCCTCGAGTCCGCATGCCCAGCCCCAGCCCCAGCATGCAGCGCATGTCTAATCACTCTAGAGCAGTTTAAATTGGCCATCCGTTGGCAATTTGATTCATGGGCCTCGCGCATGCTCGCTGCTGACTGACACTGTCTTGCTGAATTCGAAGAGTAGACTGAATCTGAGGTCTAGGCAGACGTCGTCATAAATTCTTAAGAGGCTTTTCTGCTTGAAGATCGAGTGCATTTTCAGCGTCCGCACTGCTTGCCTTCTGTCCGACATGGTAAGCTCTGATATGACGGTTTGTGATAGAGATGCCGAGCGGACATATGGCTCGGGCTACATACGCGCTCATCTTACTCGAATTCCCCTCGACACCTGCAGCTTAGCATTTTAGCTGAACGAGGAGTTGTTGTTTTAGTGGCTGACAGCTCCTTTGAATCTCAATTGTGGGGAAAGAGAGTATTCTCCGTAAAATTTTCTACTAAAGTCTAGTAGCGTCATGCGTTTCTCGTTTCTCGTGCGGGCTAGACCTGAATCCTTTGATGAATCAGCACATCCTCGACGGCCTTTGGATGGTGGCAACTTACTTGTATCCAAGTCAAATTCCGATTCCGATTCCGGAATGCAACTCAGATGACAATCTTATCAATTACGTCTTACAGGCTAGCTAGCTTTTGCTTTAGCACGTAAATGGTTGGTAAAGGTAAGTCGATCGGACTTGTGTCCTCGGTGGAGATGTCGATAGATCTCACTCACGCAAGGACTCAATGTGGAAGCTTTTGCATGTCTTTCCTTCCTCTTCTTGCATGACTTTGAACAAGCTCGAAAGTTATGCATTCAATTTCGGCGTTACATATGCTCACACGGGCTTGAATTCAGCGAGATCATAGTGCGAACAACTTAGACATTTTCCTCGACAGACTCGTGTGAGAAGGAGCAAATTTTGCTAGTTACAGGGCGATCAAACTGGCCACCTCGCAGCTATCAAGAGTGTACCGGTGAATGAATTAGGCATCGATCAATCCGGTAGGGTAGCAACGAGCATGCGAGTTTCATTGAGTATTTAGACAGAATATAAGAATTCCAGCAGGTGAAATCAGACGTGTGAATTTTCCGGAAAAATCAGGGAATCCAATATCTGAACCGTAGCATTGTAACAGGCGTAGTTCTATACAAAATGCACGGGAAAAAGGGGGAGTAAGAAATAAAAACTCTGTAATTACAACGAGCTACAGCCAGACAGTACTAGAGGTAGAGAATTAGCGTTCTCCTTTCCACACATCGAGGCTCATTCTGCTATCTAGCAACAAACTTCCGTACCTCAGGTAAGCCCGCACTTCATATCTGATGATGCTCTCTCGTCACTGCACTTTGCAATATTCTGTTGCTGGAAAAAACCTGCACTCTGTGGGGCCTTTCCTTCTGCAACTGTTTGCTTGGAATAAGGCAACGTTGCGGGAAGCGGACATTTGCGAAGGTAATTTTAGACGAGCTGAATCTAAATATCTGAGGAGCACTAGTGAATGTACTCTGTGAGACAGCAGCTCAATCGAGTGATAGATTCCTCGCTCATTGTGTGCTGGAACAGATTTTCTTTTCAAAGAGCTCGTTAGATATTCTGCAATATTCCGTGACACTGGCCCCAAGGAAAATCATGTCCCCAACATGATCTGAGGATTTTCATCTTTCAATCTTCAAGTCTGAAAGGACTTGTGATTGAATTGGCTGTATCGGATACTTCAGCCTCTCAGCAATCTTTCCTACTAGAATTCGATCCTTCAACTTCCTTCGTGTTCGCAGAGCTGTTCCATAGAAGGGTGTAGTATCGTCTAGTAGTTTCACGTCTCGGAGTTATAATGAAAGAATAGTCAACCATCATTCGTATGGCGAGGTACGATATGCTCTATCGAGGATCTGATACAATTTCTTGAAGTGTATCTCAATCACGCGAGAAGTGCTGCTTCCTACCTCAAGAGATGGAAGGACAGTTTTACTTGAATGCAGAAGATTTCTCACTAAGGGAGCAAAATACAAAACTTTCCCCTGTTTTGACGATACGTAAGAGATGTCCAGTCACGGGGACCCTACCCCCTCATGCGCTCGGTGTGAGGGAATTTGGGTGGAAGAGACGCCAGAATTTGACGTAGGTCAATCCAGTGAACCAGATCCAGAAGCAGGTAGGGTTTGATTTGAGGACTGGTATATATTGTGAGTGCTGACCTACGTCTTGAATTTTCTGGTATGTACCGTACTCAAGCTGTCACCTCAGGGATCACACATATTGTGCTGCAATTCCGGACGTTTCTGAAATCAACGGGAGATTTGGGACGACTAAATTGACTGACGTCACTAACATTATCAATTGTTAGAAAAAGTGGTGATTTCAGTGCTTAATTGCTCGATTATCGATAGTACAAGTCGTGCAATCTGAACAGTTAGAGCTGTCGTTATTGACTCAATTAACTCCAGTCGCTTTCCGTCAGGAAATGCAGCGACTATTTCATTTTCAACTCATGAGTTGTGCGACATCTTCAAACCAAAACATAGCAGCTGACTGAATTCTCTATGATTTAAGTTCTTGCTTTCAATAATGTACCTTTAGTGTCAAAATCTACGAAGTGGGAGATGGACCTGCTCCCCTTTCTGTTCACGGGTCAACACTTTCACATACTTCAAAAGTTGTGAGTGAGATGTTTGAGAACAGCTAATCTTAGAATATTAAAGCTAGGATCTTGAAGCGTTCCGGACTATACTGCGATGGAAACAGAGTAGGGCATGAGGCCTCTGCATCTTGCTGATTTGCTTCACACAGGAGATGTGTTCTCGAATCTCAGGAGTTATCATTGCAGTCATGATGTGTATCGTAAGTTGGAGTCTTGGAATGGTAACTGTGTGAAACTGTTGCCTGCCATCGGACCCTTGTCGATGCATCGCTGGAATTTGTGGGACTCTTCTCATTTCAAATTGACATCACATTCTCATCCGCTGTCATTTGCAATGGCCCTGCAGGCAGAGAAGACCGACAATTCTCAGAAAAATGAAGACGTAAATCCTGCGAACACCTCCAAAAGAACTGAATACACTCTTGATGGTACTTTGGATTGGAATGGACGACCCGCTCACAGGTCTACGACTGGCGGCTGGAAGGCCGCCAAATACATCATCGGTAGGACCTCAAAACTTCTTCTCATGTCTTTTCCACTGCCTCCCGTGTCTCTATGGATACTCAAAAGTACGTTGAAGAAGATTAGAATCTTCGCTTGTATGCAGAAAGAGCGCTTTTAGTTTTTCTTCATTTTCTTGTGTTGACATATACATTCAGTTTCTTCCCGACTTTATACTTGGGTATCAGTCATGATGTGTGAATCAGCGAACACGATCGAATGATTGTTGTTGGTGCTATGCTAAAATTCTTCTGTAGAGCATGTGACAGAGGAGAACATGCACTGCATGTTTCCGCTGCCAGTCCATCTCAATGTTCCTGTTAGCTGACACTCACAAAGTTCTTCCCTCCAGTGCACATAACTCAGGAGGAGAAATGGCTTGAATCAAAATCAGTCTAGAATAATCTTCTGGTATGATTGATTTGTATGTGGATCTTCTGCAGCGGAACAGGTGTTTGTAAATTTGTCCTACTTCGGTCTCTGCAAAAACTTGGTCATGTACCTCACGACAGTCATGCACCAGGGGAACGCAGACGCATCAAACTTTATAACGAATTGGCTGGGTGCCGTGTTCATTGCACCCTTTTTGGGGGCTTTCATGGCAGATTCAAACTGCGGACGCTATTGGACAACCTTCGTGTTTTCTGCTCTCTTCGGGATCGTAAGCTCTCACTCCACATTTCTATGACAAAAAGCTATGTGAATTGAAGATGCTTCGTGAATTGTCATGAGCTTCCTTCCTTCGGGTTCATCTTGGAAGGCTTCAGTAAAATTAAGACGTCAACCTGCAACAAAAGCATAATTTCGAAATTCAGTCATTCATTTGATGGATAGAATTTCATAGTCTCTTTGCCGAGAGCCATGTAGGAAGAAAGGTGGTGACATGAAAATTTGTGGTACATATGCTGGAAGCCTTCTGCCGAATCCTTGGGGGTTAAGTCGTTCCTCTTGTTTATATGACAGGGAGTATTGCTGGTGGCCATATCAACGTACGTACCCTCTCTGAGACCACCTCAATGTCCATCCCGGGATGTAAAGTGCGAATCTGCCACGGCTGTACAGAGCACATTTCTCACAATCGGACTGTACGTAGCCGGCATCGCCAACGGAGCGTTGACGCCCCCTGTGACTGTCCTGGGGGCAGACCAATTTGATGACGATGATCCTATAGAAAAGAAAGAGAGAAGTTCGTACTTCAACTGGATATACCAGGCCATCACGATCGGAGCAATGGGAGCTGCCGTTGCTATCGTCACGATCCAAGAGGACCTGAGCTGGGGATTGGGAATGACCATATCTGCTGGTCTGGCGTTTATAGGAATGTTCTTCTTTGTCTTCGCATCCAAATTATACCGATTCCACAAGCTCGAAGGAAACGCAGTGATGAGGATCGCGCAGGTGATGGTTGCTGCCACTCGCAAAATATTTCTCCCCGTCACAGATGTGAACAAGCTTTATGAGGAGACTGACCCAGAATCAACGAAAAGGAGGAAGATCTGCCACACGGATGATTACAAGTGAGTATACTCTACCCAAGATCTTCTCCCTCCTTCTCCTCCTCCGTCTCGTGAGTAGTTCTATGATGTAATCCAAGCTTTTGATGTGCCTGGACTCCTGCAACTTTTCGAGTGAGAAGCGAGTGATCGCAATGTGAAAAAAAGAGCAACCCAACGAACTATACTCGCTAGACTGCCTTAACTCTTTTTTCGTATGGCATGGATTACCTGACTCTAGATAGGAAGATGTGCATGACATGAGATGCCTATTCCAGACCCCCAGTCGCAAGTAGATCTTATGACTTACAGGCCGGACGTATAAGAGGAACGATAGGGAGAAATAGAGATTTACCCGCATTGCGGTTTTTGGGATTTCATGGTTTTGTCATGATTGTCATACGATGCAAGCCTGATCCCAGGGATCGGCTTGCCCCGTTTCGTCCCGACTAGATTCTAATATTTCAGGACGCGAGAGCGTGCACAGGGGAAGTGAGTGATCGACTGCCGTTCTGAGAATCGATCGAATAGCTTCCATGGGGAACTGACGGCCGGAGTTTGTGCGCAGAATTCTGGACAAGGCTGCGCTGTGGACGCCGGAAGACGAAATGGACGTGCATTCGGGGGGCAAGATCAACCACTGGAGTCTGTGCTGCGTCACGCAGGTGGAAGAGGTGAAGTCAGTGCTGCGATTGCTGCCCATATTCTGCACGACGATCATCTACGCCACGGTGTACATGCAGATGACCACCATCTTCGTGGTCCAGGGCGCGGGCATGGACACGCGAATGTTCGGCTCCTTCAAAATCCCGTCGGCGTCCCTGTCCGTGGTCGAGCAGATCACGATCGTGATCGGCGTTGTCATGTACGACAAGTGGCTGGTGCCGGTCCTGCGCAGGTACACGGGCCACCCCAAGGGCTTCACGGACCTGAAGCGCATGGGCGTGGGGCTGTTCCTGTCCATCCTGTCCATGGTGGTGTCGGCTCTGGTCGAGGCCAAGCGCCTGCAGGCGGCGCGCGACTCGAACCTGCTGCAGACGCACCTGCACGACGACACGACGACGCCGGTGCCGCTGTCCATCCTGTGGCTCATCCCGCAGTACTTCCTGATCGGCTTCTCGGAGATCTTCGTGTTCATCGGGCTGCTGGAGATGTTCTACGACCAGTGTCCCGAGTCTCTGCGCAGCGTCAGCAACGCCATCCAGCTCTTCACCAACGCCGCCGGCAGCTACCTGAGCACGGTGCTCGTCACGCTCGTTAACAAGTTCACCCGATCGGACGGCGAGTGGATCCCCAACGACAACCTCAACACCGGCCACGTGGATCGCTTCTACTGGCTGCTGGCAGTTCTCAGTCTGATCAACTTCGTGCTCTTCGTGCTCTGCGCCATGCGCTACAAGCCTCTCGAGATGGAGCACTACGACACTCCTTTCGTCGCGGACGAGCCTTGCGACGACGACCAACGCGCCTACGGTGAATGTCACGACGGTCGGGATAAGTAGAACCGACTCACACGTTAGCCCGAAAGGACAAAGTCACCGTAACTGGACGGAGCCACCAGGTCGAGATCACAATCCAGTCATCGCGAATCGAGCGACTTGGTAAACCTGGACCAACGTAGTTACCCAATGGAAGGACATTGTCCATGGATCGTCTTTAGTCGCGCCGTAGTTTAGAAGAATCAGTGAACGGAGTGGAGCGCCTGCAGCGAAAAATTCTCATGCTCGAGCAATAGCACGAGGAGATAGGTAGGGAGCGAGATCTGCCCAGTTGTGGCTCATTTGGCTTCATGACATGATATAGATTCTGGGCAGTAGTAGTTGCAGCGTTCGCCTTCGTCAGGCTAGGACATCCATGGTTTTCTCCGTCCGGTTCGTAGACTTGAGCCGTCGAACATCCTTCTGGACCGCCGTGTACATTTGTTGATTTCTCATATAAAAGTCGTCTCATGGCTGATAGTAGCCGCTCATCCACAAGCATCGAGAGCACTCGATTTCATCCAAGACTTCAGACCCCTATCGCGATCCCGTCATGCTTCTTGTCTCATTTCAACCTCACAAGTCTGTTTCCCGTGTGTCAATCGCCATACCTCCACTCGCGAAGACAGAACTTTCAAGCATAGCGTTGCCAGCTTAGTTTTTAATTATCGGTCTCGATCTCTTCGTACATATATGAGCAAGTCGGTTTTAACCACATGATGACTTCCGTATCCGTATAATGAGATTATCTTTCGTGTCTTAGTTTTCTAGGGAGCTGCTGACTTCAAACCAGGTCCACCCTTCTCTGAACTTTACATGAGATTCACTCCAACGGGTTTCATGTCCCGTCCAAAAGTGAAGTGAGCACGATTACTCATACTGCCATTAGTGATGATCATGAGTAGCTCATGAGCTTGCAATTTACGAAGTGTTCCCAATTCAGAAGACGACGCCCGATTGGATAAGCAAAAATGGTGGAAAGCCCATCCAGCCGTACAAAGAAAAAGTAAAGGCAAACAAGGGTCTAGGCCCCAACGTGTGGGAAGGAAATGGACAAGAAGTTGATGCAAGTATATGAGGGACCTTTCAACGAATATATAGCGACGGGTTTGGATTCTTGATAAATGTTACTTAACAAGCCGTATTATGCATAAGTCAGCGAAGGAACGATGTAAGGATCAGGTGGTGCTGGCAGCCTGAAAGGGAGAAAGACTTACTTCTCCAAATATTACAGATCACAACAAATGCATATTGACTTTCATGAAAAAGTCTTTGAAAAAATAGTTATCACCTCGCAACATCTCAAAAACTGTGAATTTGTGATTGCAACAAAACGATACAGTTTTCAATGATTTCAATATACTTCATCTAGTTGACTGTCATGGTTACACATATCCCATAATATATGTTTACTCATGTAGAACATCTCACTTGATGTTATAGACCTTAGCTCAAGCAAAGGTAAGGAACTAAATTTGAAAAGATGAGATTCTCTTACATTGCCGTTTGTTCTCCTTCAAAGGTGATGAATGTGCTAGCTTGAAAATAAGATGTCACTCGTTGGCAAATGGATTATAACTTTTGTGCCGCTTTCGAGCTATGCATCGGTGATCTAAGAAGCTCGGCGCGAGGCGATGGTCGTGCCAAGGCCGCCGTCCAATGCGGGCGTCCGGTCTCATGTGGAGGTTTAGGGTTTAGGGACCTGTCGTCGTGTAACTCCAGCAATTTCGCTTCTGTGTGCGGGATTCGTCTTCGTCGCTGCGGGTGCATCTTACTTTTCACAGTGATCTAAGAAGCGATCAACGGTGGATATTGATTCTATGATCAATATCCACCGTTGGACATGTGGAAAATCTCTCACCTTCGTGATGAGGCTTCCAAATAATTATCACCCTTTTGGCATGTGAACTACTTATGATCCCAAACTACTTGATGTTTATTAGAAAGAAATGGCATTTGTTTCTCTACATGAGCTATAGATATCTGGGTATATGCGCATGACCTACTTCACATCAATCAGTTCTGCAGAGTGGATTCCTAGGGATAAAATAATTCGATTTGGAACCTTTGTTGGAGTCTTCTGTTTAGCATATAAGAATATGTTTTAGAGGTAGTTCTTGATGTCTGGTTCATCTATGAAGATAAATTAAGGGTTTACTTTAAACTTACGAAATAAGGAAGGAGCTGGGATTGAGATATAATGTAAGGATTTACAGTTAACTTACGATATTAGACAAGAGCGTAGATCAAAATATATAGTTGAAGTTCAAAAAATTTACAGATATTTTTTGCAGAATTTCTACAGCATAAAGTCTAGGATGAAAGATTTGTGAGTGGAATGGAGGAAAGTATAGCATTTCTTTCCCAAGCGAATCTTTCCAATTTTTTTATGGAGTAAAGATGGGAGCATGGAAATCGGGAGCTTACCACGCCATATATTAATATGTATATCATTATAAAGAGACTTTGAATGTGCGAATATGATAGAGTTCGCGCTATTGATAGCAATTCTTGTGAGTCTATGGTCAAATATTTGTCGTATTTTAGCTCAAAAGATTTCTAGCGTCCAGCATTTGGCACTTCCCTCAAATATATGCTTTGAGATAGAAAAATATTTCACTCCGATTCATCCACTCAAGTACAATCAGCTCTATGCACTGAATCATCTGTTTACACCCATTACATTTTTTCAGTGTATGATCACATTCATAATGTCCCAGAAATTTCAAGAATATATGGCTTTATCTGGTACACCACTATAAAAAGAGTGGAAAATAAATGGAGGCCAGGTCAGTTTAATATGGAAGAGGGTGCATTAGAAAAAACTCTTATTCTACTCTCTACACTCGTAACTCACTTATGGTATTATCCATGTGTCATCGACGTAAACTTAGATCACAATAGGACCGTTGGTTCTTACAATTTCAATGTCACACAAACACTTAAATTATGAATATGTAGAATGAATTTTTAAAATTTTTATTACTAAACTGTGAATTCAATTAAATAAAAAATTCGCTTCAACATTTCTCAAAATTTGAACTATTTTCACAATATTGATTTAGCCAAGAAAATCATAAATCATATTAAAAAGAATGAAAATATTTTACTTCCTTTCATCAAGCCGATTATGTTTTAGGTACATTGAGACATGATAATTTATTGAACGATTTGTATTCAAATTGATTGCTAGGAATTTGTAATGTACAGATAGGTAGAAGTACAAATGCAATATCCCTTAACATAACATTTACAAGAGGAGTTTGTTAATTAATTTAAACCTCGAGTCAACAAAGTCAAATGAACATCTTCGTAACTTCATGTTATTCTTCATAACATCAAGCCTGTCTGGTAAAAATGTTCTTTCTATTTGAATGCCTTGAAGCGTCACTGGCAACTTGAAGCGTCATGGTTCTTTCAAGGTGGCTAGCGAGATTGGAGCTAGCAGGAGCGACGTGATGCACGCTTGATTTCTGCTTAGACGAAAATGTATGGAGGTCATGAACTTCCCAGTGTTGTTTTGTAAGCTCTACATATCTCCTCAAACATTGGAATCCCCAGCTCTGGGTTTGCTCCTTCCATCTAATCAATCAGACATCCAATTCTGCAAAATTTCACACATCCGACTATGATTGATACTTTATCCCGGCACTCTCTTCTCTCTTTGGCCAGTTCTCTTTCCTCAAGTGTATGCTGGTCTAAAAAATTTCGACCGAATTGGACTAAAATTCTTTATTTTTTATCGAGTAGCTCAGGCTGCTCGTACAACCTTGCCCTTCTTATCTTTCTAATTTCATTGCTCACCTTTTGTTCACCCCGCCACATGCCATGAAGTTACCAATGTTCTTACATTCTTACTATTCCCAACCTCAGTCTTCGGTTCGCACTAAGTTGAACCACTTACAGAGCGCGATAATTATCCACTTCAAGCGTTTACTGCCTGTATCCACGTGTTCGCCAACACTAATGAAATGCCTTTCTGACTGACTCCTCTCACATTGGTCACATCCTATCTTCTCTGTATGTGTCCATTCCCTTGCTACTCCAAGTTTTCGGTGCGACACCCAACTGACACGTAAGCCACTTCCATTTACCTTCATCAAAGTTAGTCCTTGTGATTTGGAAAACAAAACGGATAAGATGATGCATATTGCAAGCGTCTAAGCAACAAATCTCCATGGAATTTGAGGCTCAAGGAAAGACTTGGAGGTATCCAAGTCTTTCCCTGTCCTCCAGTAGCACTGTAAATGTACAATATCAACATAGGCTCTGGGCACTGAGCTCTCTACTGTGAGTATGAAGACTGCTCTTATGCATCCACTTCGATTCTTCCCGGTACGAAACCTCAAAGCCCATCAGCTATGGCGGTTTCCAGCCTTGTCTCCATACTCACCTTTCTTTTCTTATGATTTTCAAGGTCCTTCTCAGGCGTAAGCTAGTGGGAAATTTCTTTTCGGTTTACGGTCTCTTTAGCTTTTCAAATTTTCATTTCCAACATGAATTTTAAACATTTTGCTGCTCCACCAGAGTGGCTTCCTGAGCCAGCTCTTGCATCCACTTTCTCTAAGGTTAGAGTGAACACAGGGTCCTCTGGTAGGCGGAATTATTATCTTCTCTCCGTCAGGAGTATCAGGTGAAAAAACATCGTCCTGACCTCGAATGTCAGTGGTCACAGTGATGATAGATCAAATCTGGAGCAAATTTCTGCAGGATACAGCGTGCGTGACAGTTGCAGGTGATTTAAGAAAATCTAGACCTTATGTCTTGGCCGAGGACGATGTGGATGTATGCACATGGTCGACAACCAGCCAAATTATCGCCATAAAATAAGCTAATGTTAAATAGATCAAGGACTTCCGAAGCCTTGGCTGAGTTGTCGATTTTCAGCTACCTGCGGCATCGCAGCAGTCTAGTGAAGCTGTTGGGACGAAGTCCAGTGTGTAATCTGAGGTCAGTCCATCCTCACAAAGCTCACGAACACCGCCAGGGTTTTCATCACAGCGTTGCAGGTCAAGGCAAGGAGTCACCACTCCAAATGCCAGAAAAAGTGAACGCCCATATATGGTATCGCCATCCGCGTCTTCCACCAAGCCATTTATGGCCGTAATTTAAGATCAGGGGCAAGTAAGGCTCCATCGAACCAGAAGTCATTAGTGACCTTTGACTCCTCATCCTTTCCTATTAGCATTGAAAAAAACTTATCCTGTAATTTAGTTTTCCCATGATAAGATTTATGATATGGAAAGGACAGCTAAATTCTATCCTTCCAGTGTAAGGAAGCTGTGCAACTTTACACCTCAGGAAATAAAGGTCCATTATGTATTGAGGTTTAGGCTTTATCAGGACAAGCTTTACAATGTCCTAAGAAGCGCAGTCGACGGCGCGAGCCGTCGGAGTTGGAAACCTCATGATCATTGGCACTCAGGGTATTAAGCTGATTATCCGGTACTCTGATGAGAAATACAAGAATAGAAAAAAGTCATTTTACTTAAAATATATTGATCTCGATAGAATATTAATTGGTACAATTATAAGAGATAAATAATGTTGTCGGATAATTCTTCTGTAATATCTATTCCATTGAACCCTGGCTTAGAAATGGCTCCTGGCTTAGACAAAGGGCCAACGATAACAAGGTACGTACAAGGGCCAAATAGTGAAAATGGAAGTACTAAGATTTAAGTACTAAGTATTAATTTTAAGTATTGAATATTCTAAGTATGTATTTTAAGTATATTATATTTTGATATCTTTGTAAAATTTCAATAATGCACATTCTTCATTGTGCTGCTAAATGTGCTAACCAAATTTTATTCCTATGGTTTCACCCAGGTAGGGCTTTATGCGTCTTCCCATTCCTTTGCTATTGCTCCGAATATACATATAAGCACTTCTTTAGTGGATACTAGACAAGTACAGAATAGCGATTCTTCTCCATATGACCAAACAATGGATGTAAGCCACGCGAACGGTCGCCCTACATTCTACTGCAATAGTACAGCGAATAACCAGAATGGCCAACCCAATAACGGATTCTGCAGAAGCCACCGTAAAAACAAATAATTGACCCATCATATCATCATAATAAACAGAAAATACGACAATAGTTCAAATTGACAGCAGATAATTAGTAAGTGCCGTTCACTAGTAACCGAGGTCTCGGAGGGCTTTATGACAGCTTCTCCCAGGGCGGAACACGTGGCTTCAGTCTCTAACAACATAACACATTTAAGACAGATCTAAAAACATGACAAACTTCATTCAAGGTCAAAGTATTCGGACAAATCATGGTTATTTGTTATCATAACTGATCATTTTGCTGATTTCTTTCCCTTTAGAAATCTACATAGTTGAACGCATCTTAGTCAACTAATGGCACGAATTCTCAAAGCACAATCACTTCAGAGATAGTTCAAGGTTCTTTTGGAAATGCCAGATACTATCAAAGGTTAGAAAAACTTTTGGCTTCGTAGTGAGCTACTTTGCAAAAGTATCATCGTCTGTGTTTCCTGTTGATCATGACCATGCGGAAAACGTTGAGATCCAAATTTAATATGCATGGGCACGATGTACCTGACTTTGTCCTCGTTTGTACGGCTTCATATCTCCGGAGTTTCGGTCGGACAACAACTACATTCATTCAACAAGGTCACACCTTGATGCTGTAGCCTGAGTTTAGAATTGTACAGATGAAGGTGACAGCTTGAGTGCTAAATATACATGTTCAACAAGACCGATCCTGATGATTCTGCTTAGGAATTTGTTTTTCATTCATTTTTTTTACAGCTTATAAGATACTTAATACATATGCCATGCACCTCATAAGAACCAATCGCTATGTGGTATTACTCAAAATAATTTGAATATGAAATAAATTGATGCCAAAGTATCAGGTGATCACATATGCCCTGAAATTCCAATCGCTAAAGATGGAGGTTCCTGTTTGCTTTGAGCACAGGCTTCATCTGCTTCGAGTATTTAAACTTGATCCTGATGTTTCTCCAGCAGCTTCTGGTCAAGTGGAGATAGCGCTCCTCACTGATCCTGACACTACTACTTGTTTCTGGTTCAGTCTCTAAGTGTCTCTAAGTTCCGTGGAAAAGAGCGAATAGTTCACTCCAGCTCTACGTCCGTACTCTGATCTTCGTATACTTTCTATCAGGTTCCGGCTTCATGACGACTACGAAAGGATCAACGTACTACAACCGAATGGCAGCTAATATCGTTTTCGTCATTTCGTTACTCTTGTCCACGACACAAGTTGTGCTTGGTAGTGGGGATCACGAAGGTATGCTCAAATCCACATGTCTATCTCCAGCAGTAGTGCGATGATATTTAGAGCATTGGTGAGATTTGTCACTTTGCATGATGCCTCGGTTTTCTGAGTAATGAGACGTCCAAAAGTGGACTTGCTTTGTTTCCAACCAAAGTTAATGCTTAAGAGAGTTAAAAGAGTTTAATTTGAAGAGTCTGATGGTGTTATCAGAGCAACTTCACTATGATGGTCCGGAGGGACCACAAACATGGGGAGGACTCTGCCATACAGGCAAGAGCCAAAGTCCGATAGACATTGTAAGACGTGAAGCATCTGCTCATCAGTTTCCGGGTCTCTGTAAAGTGCATGTCGATTACAACAGCGACACACAGGCAACGGTCACCCACTCCGGTTCACATCTTCAATTGACAGTAAGCACGTCATTGCTCAGATATATAGGTTCTTTTCTTGCAATGAGCCAATTGATACAATGCGTATTCTACTATTAGGGCCGCAAGTATCAATACAACATGTACGGAAAAGCTCTAAAACACGATAGTTTTGTTCATTGAGTTTATGAGTTGATTTGTATTTATGGTTGAACTTACGTAAGGCTGACTACATATCTTGTACAAGGTGGAAGGTGATGCACCATTTGGAAAGCTGTATCTTCGTGACATTTACAATCTGAGTGGATTTCACTTCCATTCCCCAAGTGAACACGAGATTGATTCGATGAGGTACTATCCTGACTTTTACTTTGTATATTTCGTTAATCAGAGAACACGCTCTCTGCTGGATGAGCGTCGGATTTGAATTCCGAAGTAGTTCAGGGATTATTCGATGATGCAATTATAACAACTTGACAACGTGCATGCGCAGTTATGATTTGGAGTTACATCTTGTTCATAAAACCGTCACTCAAAATGGGCCTCAGCTCGCTGTTATCGGCCTCCTGTACAATGAAGGCCCTGATGACTCGTCAACCGATCATTTTCTTCAACAGGTACTTGCACAACATTAGTAGTCATTTATAGTCAATTATAGTCAGTCAAGAAAATCAATGATTACCACGTGTATGTTCTCATGAGGTCCGGCATTCATGTGATTAGACATATTCGGGTTTAATAAAAATTCCTATATTTTTTTCGCACATGCTTATACTGCAAAAATCGTTGGTGATCATTGATGTAAGTTGTCTGTAGTTTTACATAAAGTGTTACCAAGAAATTTTTAAAGGTAAGCGCACATGAATTCTGTGACTGGAGATTTTAAATGTTCTCCCGAGTTATAAGATACACTACACCCATTTATGATAGTGCTATGATGATGTCGTTGCAATGAAACACAGAAAGTTGCCTGGAACCAAACGATTCAGGATAATATTCCTTGAGAGCAACGCGTATGACTAATTTGGGGCATTCCTAAAATCGTTTTTCGTGATCCAGGTATTTGTTGCAATGAAACACAGAAAGTTGCCTGGAACCAAACGATTCAGGATAATATTCCTTGAGAGCAACGCGTATGACTAATTTGGGGCATTCCTAAAATCGTTTTTCGTGATCCAGGTATTTGATGCTTTACCGTACATAAAGAAGCCAGATTCTTCAGTACACACGTTGAAACCAGTCGACTTCTCTTCACTACTACCGGTATTGGATGGTCCATATGCTCGATATTCCGGATCTCTGACGACGCCACCGTGCACTGAGAATGTTACTTGGACAGTCATCCTGAACCAGGTCAGCATATGATTCTACTACATGTAGCCACCTGAATAAATATACATAAGACTGCATTCAACCTGGCATGAAAGATATTGCTTCCATTAATAATGAGCAAAAAAAAAAAAGTTTTAAACCTTGAAACATTTGAACTTTTGAACATATTGCGAAAGGAGCTTAAGCATGGAAGATTCTTACTCCAACTACCAATACGTTCTGCCACACTTGACTGGAATCTGATTAAAATCATGTTTCGCCATCGTCGCTGTGATGCTGATTTGGCTCTTCATTGTGATGCCCAGAATCTGAAGATGTCACCGAGACAGTTTCAAGCCTACAAGGCCGTTCTGAAGGTGAGTTGAGATTCTTCTGACCAGATCCTTCGTTTAGTTGACTGTACCCAGTACATTTGTTGAAAGGTTAATTTAGGACTTGTCTACAATCTTTGTAATATTCATCGACTAGTGCATGTCTCGTTTATCCTTCCAGAAACCAAACAACAGGCCGCTTCAAGATCTGGCGGGCAGAACCGTGATGTACTCCCAGTAGTGAAGGTGATACAAGTATCGCCTTGACTTGATACATAATCACGCGCGTCTGTCGATATCGATATGAAGCAATTTTCCATTCTTGAGGAAAAGGGAGAACATTGTGTAGAAATAATACATTGTCGTAAGTCCACTCTGTGGGCAAGAAGATTGAGTGTCCTAGCTTGGTAAGCTCCGTCTTATGCTCGCCACAGTGTGTAAAATTTCTTGAAATATAGCGCCAAATTGGTTTGTACGCTCTAGAATGTGGATGCTGACAAGGAAATTCTTCAAAGAGGAATTTCTTGCTAATAAAAATTGCCATTCATCGACAGCAAAGCCAATCTTTTAGCAAGCAGCAACCGACAGCATAAATTGTTCAGTCGAATGAACTGTTTTGAGCTTGTTGTATGTACACAGTTGGAACAGCAAGATACGTACTACAGCAAGAAACCATGTAAAACACCCACCAGTAAACATCAAAATCGTGCAGAAGAATGAATTTTTACGGCCACGAACTTTTTAAAGAGGATTTCTAACAAGCAGAAATATCTCTCAAAGAGTCTTCAGATTAGAAGAAACGATGGGTCATTTTCAAACTAAGATAGTACCTATGTTGTGTGCCTTAAAATAATACTTCAATTTTCAATGTTTGTTATGGAGATTTGTCCAGGTAACTGAAGTTCGGAGAACACATATTCCATCGTGCTCCTAGTTTAGATCTATTGTAAGTATAAGTTTCTTATTAAGGTTTGAAGACCCTGGAACGGAAGATTCGAGGGGCTTCATTGTATCAATTTAAAATTTTTTTCAAATCAAAAAATTTATTATAGAATGATGTAATTCTTATTAAATCTGTGAGAGACCTCAAATGATTAATTCTATAAATTTTTCCTTCAATTTACATTTCTTATTTAACTTGTCACTAATGTCAATTATCTAATGGTAAAACTGGAGATCACAATGACTAATCCAACAACTCGAGAGACCCTCCTATAAGGTGTTTCAAACTCAAGGGTTATGTTCATGTGATAAAACACTTTAGAGAATAAATTATTTCAAATGAAAACATAACAATACAGTCAAAAGAATCAAAGAAAATATATTCAACATAGACGATCAATCTCAATTATAAATAGTTATATATGAGGTTATTACTTAATCAAAATTGACCTCAACAAGTTATTAAATTTTAAATATATAACTTACAATTTTATTTCTCTAGTTTTGAAATAAAATAGAAATTTATCAAAGTTATATCAATAATCAATTCTATTTTGTATCTTATTTATATCACTGAATAATTTTTTTTTACTTTCTTTTATTGAATAAATATGTTAAGAATCTTTAATTATATGTTTTTTTTTTTCAATAGAATTCTATGATTCATTAAGAAATTTATTTAATCACTTTAGATATATTTGAATTTTTCTTTGATTTTTGAATTTACTTTTTGTCTATAATTTTTAGTTATATTTTACCATCAATGGTAAATATTTTTTTTGGGGTTATTTTTTCTCGTTGTTTCAAAAGAGTAATTTGTATAATCTTACAATGACTACGAATTATTCTTTCATAAATATTAAATAGTATTATTTCCTCTTCAAAATGATTACATATATGAGAGTAGTTTTTTAATTTATTCGTAAAAGATTTCATATCAATTTCAAAAAAAACTTTCGAATTAATCCAATTAGTTTTCCAGTTTCAATTGAAATTTTGGTTCTTAAAATCTTTTTCAAATTAAATTATGTAAATTGAAATTTTCATAATTACACAAAAAATAATATTTTCGGAGCAAGTGAAAAATTTATAATAAAATCTAATTTGTTAAGTTTCATAGCGATGTTTGGGAAGTTGAATCTGAAAGCTGGAAACTGCTAGATTCATTCAACTCAATGCAATTGCAGGCTGGATTGTGCAACATATAAAAAATTGTAATTCACAAACGAGATGATTTTAAAGATGTGAACGAATTCACTGTGATGATGTGGATATTACGAAGGCTTGGAGTTAGGGTAGAGTAATGGAAAGCAGAGGAAGCATGATGGGAAAAATCTTCACTGTCATTAGAATATGCTCGCGGTCAGGGCAATGCATGACATCCTGGCTTTGTGAAGGTAATTGCTCCACTTTCTGACTCAGTTTGTCAATGGAAACTACAGGAATTTCAAGCAACTGAGATTATGAAAACATTGCATGACCTGTTCACAATGCACGCATGACCTGAGGTGTAGAGTTATTTTTCAAGTCTAACTCCAGTTTTTCACAACAATAGTGTCCAAATCATCGTCTTGAATAAACAATTCCCTGATCGGATATTCAGATACATATGATGGAAGTGCCTCTTTTGAAAAGGCTGGTACACTGATTAGAAAAACTAAAACAAAGGTGAAGAAAAAACTACTGGGAGGTTTGACAAGCCTATACACCTGTCCACAGATTTCATCAAAATCAAAGGCAGCACATTGGAGAGGTAAACTTGAGATATGACAGGAGTAGGTTCGTTTCATGGAGCTTCCTAACTTTCCGACAAGCGCTAAGCAATTTTTCTCATCTGATCAAGATCATACAACAAAGCACACCCAAATGAGCATTGTAAGTGTGACTAAATAATTTTTGAGAAGATGTCAGTGCTTCAGAATCCATAATCATGTTGCTACTTTCTTGCCTCCTAGAAATCTACATACTTGAATGCATCTTAGTCAACTTATGACACGAATTATCATAACACAGTCAGTGCAGAGCTATTTCAAGGTACTTTTATAAATGCCAGATACTTTCACAAGTAAGACAAAGTTTGGCTTCCTAGTCAGCTACTTTGCAAGAGTATCATCGTCTGTGTTTCCTGTTGATCATGACGATGCGGAAAACATTGAGTTCAAAACCAATATGCATGGGCCGATGTACCTGACCTTTGTCCTTGATTGTACGGCTTTTTATCTCCGGAGTTTCGGTCGGCCAAAAACTATATTCATTCAACAAGGTCACACCTTGATTCTGTCAGCTGAGTTTAAAATTGTACAGATGAAGGTGACAGCTTGAGTTCTAAAAATAAATGTTCAACAAGACCGATCCAGAAGATCCTGCCTGGATTCGTTATTCATTCAGCTTTTTACAGCTTATTAAATACTTAATACATATGCCATGCACCTCACAAGAACCAATCGCTATATTGAATCACTCAAAATAATTAGAATATGAAATAAAATGATGCCGAAGTATCAGGTGGTCACATATGCCCTGGAATTCCAGTCGTTAAAGATGGAGGTTCCTGTTTGCTTTGAGCACAGGCTTCATCTGCCTCGAGTACTTAAACTCGATCCTGATGTTTCTCCAGCAGCTTCTGGTCAAGTGGAGATAGAGATCCTCACTGATCCTGACACTACTACTGGTTTGTGGTTCAGTCTCTAAGTGGCCATTGAAAAGAAGGAATCGTTTACTCGAGCTCTACGTCCGTACTCTGATCTCCATATCCTTGCTATCAGGTTGCGGGCTTCATGACGATTACGAAAGTATTAACGGACTACAACAGCAAGGCAGCTATACTCATTTTCGTCATTTCGCTACTCTTGACCACGACAGAATTTGTGCTTGGTAGTGCGGATCACGAAGGTATGCTCAAATCCACATGAGATGTCTATCTCCAGCAGTAATGCAATGATATTCTGAGCATTGGTGAAATTTGTTGTTTTTTATGATGCCTCGGTTCTCTGAGTAATGAGACGTCCAAAAGTGGGTTTGCTTTGTTTCCAACCAAAGTTAATGCATGAGCAAGTTAAAAGAGTTTAATTTGAAGAGTCTGATGGTGTTATCAGAGCAACTACAATATGATGGTCCGGAGGGACCACAAACATGGGGAGGACTCTGCAATACAGGCAAGAGCCAAAGTCCGATAGACATTTTAAGACGTGAAGCAGCTGCTCATCAGTTTCCGGGTCTCTGTAAAGTGCATGTCGATTACAACAGCGACACACAGGCAACGGTCACCCACTCCGGTTCACATCTTCAATTGACAGTAAGCACGTCATGAGCAGACGTCATTTCAGTGCTCAGATATGCAATTTCTTTTCTCGCAATGAGCCAATTGATACAATCCGTATTCTACTATGAGGGCCGCAAGTATCAATAGAATATGTACGGCAAAGCTCTGAAAGACGATAGATGTGTTCATCAAGTTCGTGGGTTTATTTGTATTTAAGGTTGTAGTTAAGTAAGGCTGACTACATTTTTTTTGTGAAAGGTGGAAGGTGATGCACCATTTGGAAAGCTGTATCTTCGTGACATTTTGTAATAACCCACTAAAGGCTAAAACTGCAATATAGTGGTAGAAAGGTCGAACCCACAGGGACAGAGGAACACACAGGGTACAAAGTGTCACGTTTAACAGACTATTGATGAGTTTGAATTCTCAGGCGACTGTCACTCCCAGAAATACTGCAAGTGTCCACTCGGAGCGCACTCGGAGGTCGCACAGTGCAGCGTAACACACACACACACACACACCTGAAACTACAGAAACACAACCTAGAGATCCGTTAGGACCTCTACTTCAAGATTTCAGGGGGAAAGTCTCTCAAGAGCACACTCGGCAAAGCTGCGGGCAGTGGCTTCCAACTCCGGCTTTTACAACACTTCCACTAGCTTGCTGCTAGTGTAGGAAACCCGGTTTGGACTACCTACTTCGGATCGAAGTCACTCAGACGCGGTGAACAACACTCTCAACTCACAAAACGCGCAGAGAACACAGGTCCACACTGAAGGACTCACTGTGAAACATTCCAGTAACACAACAACCGTCTATTGAAGAGTTTGAATTCTCAGGC